GGTGTATGTGTACATCAGTACACGTGTGTAGATCCAGAGGTTGCTCACTCTCCATCTTTCTCATTTTTGTGACACGTCTCCTGGTACCCTGATTCAGGTGGACTGGCTAGCCAGAGAGTTGTAGGGAACCACCTCCGCCCGATGCCACGGCGCTGAAGTTCCAGACACTTAGCACGAGCAGCTTTTTGCGCGGGTTCTGGGTGGGGTTGGAACTCAGGGCTTTGGATGAAATGGCATGCCCTTCACTGACTGCCTCACGTGACCTTAGGCCCTGTACACAGTTGACTATCGCTATCTATCTACTCTGTCGTCAGGTCCATACCACCGTATCGATAGTTCTTGGCCCTAGGAGAGGCCTAATACATACTTGGTGACTGAATACCTAAACAAAGTACAAAACTCAAGAACAGCACAGTGGTCCCTGCTTGTTGAAGACCAAATGTCTGTACATGACCCCAGTTTACATGCTACCGGTTGACCCGGTCTATGTGGAAGCAGCTGGGGGAGGGTTGGGGGATAATTGAGATGAGGTCATGGAGGTAGGACCTGATCTTGTCCCTAGAACAGGGGGAAGAGAAACCAGAGTCCCTTCTCTGCCTAAGACAGACAGAACAGCAGCCCCGTAAGCTAGAAGGACTGCTGTATTGGAGAGCTGAGTCCACCAGCACCTTGACCTTGGGCTCCTTGGGACTGAGAGCTGGGCAGTGACTGTTCTGCAAGCTGCCCTGCCTGTGGTATTTCCTTAATGCAGCCAACACGAGCAGCAACACCACATTCATAAGTCATTAAAAAAAATCTCTGGCTTTGTCATCTGCTGAATTGCTAAGCTCATTAATTAATTCTAAGCTTCAAGTGCTTGGCCTATAAATTAATGGAAGCAACACACTTGGTTGTTGTGAGAAATAAGTTAAATGTAAATTGGATGAGGCTCCATAATGTGCACACACGGTCTCAGCCCCCAGCATTACTGCAGTATGAAATCAGAGTTCACAATGCACGCTGACAAGCTGAGTGCAAATCCGAGACTCCGGCTCCACGGCTCCACATCCCATCCCTAGAAATCACTATCAGTGTCACGACGACGCAAACCACTTCCTTTAATTAGTAGAGGTAAGGACTAGGAGCATACAGTTTTTTCATCAACCAAAAGAGAATCACAGCTTTCTCATCAAAAAGAGGGTTCTCGTCCTGGAAGAAAATGATTAGTTTCATGAAACCACTCACTAGTTTACATTAAGATTGTATTACATGACATTGACCATTTGTGGTTTCTAATGGTTCAGATAGTTGCAGAAGTATAGAGTCCAAAAATCAACACAAGAAATGCATTACATTACATATGAATTTGAATAATTTATGGCTGTGTACTAAACATTATACACAGAAAATTTTAAGGTTTCTTCTCTACTTCATCAATATATATGGGTTAATAGAAGTATATTTTCTTTTCTTTTTTTCTTTGTATTCTCTTTTTTAAATTTAAAAAATATTTTATTTATTATAATTTATTCCCTTTGTATCCCAGCCATAACCCCCTCCCTTATCCCCTCCCAATCCCGCCCTCCCTCCCTCTTCTCCTCCCATATCCATCTCAAAGTCCACTGATAGGGAAGGTCCTCCTCCCCTGAGAGCCTATCAGGTCTCATCAGTACTGGCTGCATTGTCTTCCTCTGTGGCCTGGTAAGGCTGCTTCCCCTCAGGAGGAGGGGAAGTGAACAGAGAGCCTGCAATTGAGTTCATGTCAGAGACAGACCCAGTTCCCCTTACTAGAGAACCCACATGGATACTGAGCTGGCATGGGCTACATCTGTGCAGGGGTTCTAGGTTATCTCCATGCATGGTCCTTGATTGGAGTATCAGTCTCAGAAAAGACTCCTGTGCCCAGATGTTTTGGTTCTGTTGCTCTCCTTGTGGAGCTCCTGTTCCCTCCAGGTCTTTCTATCTCCCCTTTCTTCCATAAGGTTTCAATGCACTCTGCCCAAAGTTTGGCTATGAGTCTCAGCATCTGCTTTGATATCCTGCAGGGTAGAGTCTTTCAGAGGCCCTCTGTGGATAGGCTCCTGTCCTGTAGAAGCATGCTTTCAAAAGCCATATTGTACCCTTAGATACATGCAATCTCTTCATAACTGGTGTCATAAAAATTGTCACAGCAAACTGGATGTCTGCTATCAATAAAAGAATTGATTAATTATAAGTCATTTCTAGAACTGCAATTGAAAAAATCAGTCAAAACAAAAAATGAAAAACCCTCCCCCTGTGACAGCGACGGCCATGTGAAGTGCCTGGCTTGTGAGCATGAGGGCCTGAGTTTGATCTCTAGCGGGTGTGTAAACATTCAGCATGGCTGAGTGGGCCTGTAATCAGGGGCAGGATCCCTGGAGCTCACAGTCCAGAAATAAAATAAAGCTTAGATCCTTCAACTTATCTGAATCAGTGAACTTTGGGATCAGTGTGAGGTCCTGTCTGAAAAACAATAGGGAGAATGACTGAGGAAGCACACATCAGATTCCAGCCTCCAGACGTACACACCCCCCCAACACAAACCACACACATATCATACACCACACCACACACACACACCACACACACACCACACATACCACACACAAACACACACATACATACCATACACACGAACATAGCACATCCAAACACACCACACACACATACACACACACCACACACACATCATACACCACACACAAACACTATACACAAACACCACACATACCACACTCAAACACACACATACACACACCATACACACAAACAGAAGCACCACACACACCACACACAAATACATACATATACCACACACCATACATATATCATACACCGCACAGCTCGAACATACACTGACACACCATACACAGACACAAACACCACACACATCACACCACAATCACACACCATACACCTCACACAAACACACACAACACAAACATAACACATACACATACACACACACACACACACAAACACAACATAATCCACACTCAAACACCACGAATACACACACACCACACACCGCACTCCACACAAACACACCCCACACTCACACAGACCATGCATACACACAGATCACTCCCTCAGCCCTCCTCAGATTCACCCTCATAAGCATCCCTGAATCTGTCCACGTGCACCGGAGACTAGATGACCTCAGCCAGGACAGAGGTGCCAACACCTCCCCACCCACCTCTGTACCCCTTCTCCTTTACTGTCAGGAAGCTGATTTAGGATGTAGTCAGCCTCCAAAGGGAGTTTTGTAGAAGCAGTTATAGTCTTAAAAAAAAAAGGCACTGAAATTATTCTTTAAAGTATTTTTTTAAATAATTACAGTTTGTTAAAACACTAAAGATATCAAGATACTGTCACAGAACTTAGGATTTACTGTTATAGCTCAAATATACAAAAATTCCCATGACGGTTGTGTCTAAGTTCTCAGACAAAACCCTGTAAAACATTTACAAATGCTATTCTAGAAATAAGTTAATTTTTTCCTGACTAATTCAACACTTTTCCCTTCTCATGTTGACAGAGATAAAATACCTGGCCTATCATGGAACATTTAAAACTAACATTTACATTATCAGAAAAAAAAAAAAAACGCAACAGTTTTGAAGCATTGGTCATCTTTCTTACTTTCATTGACAGATGTCAACAGGAAGTTGCAGAAAGTGTATACTCTGTGGGGGTAACAATAAAGGAATTACAATGAAACTTAGTTTCTTCCACTGTTTCACTGTCAGATTATCTTCAACAATTCCAATGAACAAAACTGTCTATATTAGGGATTGTTACACAGGGAAACAGCCATGAGAGAGACAAGCATGTGACTGTCAAGCCAGGGCTGAGTTTCCACTGTATATTAGGGATGCAAAAGGAATTTTCATTTGCTTGAAGCCTGAACACTTCAGAATAGACTCGGGGCTGTCATAGGTTAGGTGTTTGGATAACCTCTGAATCCAGACATTGAGCCCCTCACCCAAGTGTGACAGTATTTAGAGGCAGAGCCTTGACATAGTAATTAGGCTTAGGCACAGCCCCTAATGGGTTCTCCACAATGAGACTGAGAGAGACTGGAGCTCTTTCTCTTCCCACCATGTGAGGACGCCAGAAGGCAGTGGACAGCAAGCCAGTAAGGCCGTCATGAAAACCTGAATCTTCTGGCACTTTGTTCCCTGGCCCTGTGAGACAGTAACAGTCACTGCTGAAGCCACTGGACCTCTGAGAAGGATCTGAGATTTAAAGTACGGCAGGAGAGGTCTCCCCGGAAGATTTGCCCAATGTACTCTGGGTACTACTGTCCAAGGAAGATCATTAGCTGAATCCACACAATAGTCCTGTCACTTGAACCTATTTTTTAAAACAAAACAAAACATAATGTGTCTTGGTTTGTTTGTTCTTTTTCTCAGTTGGCAGCACAGGGGAGTGATTTCACCGGGACATGCTAAGATTGGAAGTCCTTACGTAGTAGCGTCTACATTCAAAGACAGTGGACACATGGTCACCTACTGACCTAAGGTAGACACTCTAGGATGATGTCAGTGTTTCCAGTGTCCTGTGACCTAGGTTGCCTTTTCACCAAAGCCCCCAGGGGAAACAGAGTCAGGACCTGCCCAGAGAAAGCTCCTTGCATGGAGTACACCGTACATCAGTACACATGATGCTTTCTGTGCTAACTGAATGGCCACAAGCAAACAAAATCCAGCACGAATCCTCTCTCTGACACAACACACATGCTCTTGTAGAAGCCGTAACTGAGTGGATCATTTTTCTCAAGGTTCATAAAAATTACATAAAATGGCGTCTCTTGACCAACTGTCCACTTTTTTTTTTCCAGAGGTGGTTACCAAACACCACAGCTAGGGAGCAGCTCACCAACCCATAATACCACCACCATCACTGATCGGTAGTGATGACGACAGCAGCCTTAGCACGAAGCTCTGTAATATTGCTGGCTCCAATATGAACCTCTAACTCTCGATTGTTTCCGTTACCTTAGCCAGGTGGGAATTGATCCATTTTGTGAAGGTGCGTTTCTGTACGATCTCTTGTTCATCTAGAAGGAAAAAAAAATATTTTTGTTAGATAATATGATAGGTTCCAAAGTTATATCGCCAAATGTTTGGTCACAGACCTCTAGAAGGGATTGTATAGTTATTTTATCTTCTAATTCAACTTTCTGGGCATATGTAAATAACTAGGCCTGTCTTTTCAAAGTTACTAGGAAGCTTAAGCAGACAAGTTCCAGCACAGAGTGGCAGCAGCGGTCATGAAGGCCCACGCTTAGCTGAGGAGCTGTTGGAATTTGACAGCTGCTGGAAGAAAGCCAGTTTTCTTCAAGATCCCTAATAGGTTGGCCTTGCTCCAGGGAAGCTTCCTGCACACACACACACACACACACACACACACACACACACACACACACACGAGCATTTGAACCACACACACAAATTGGATGTAAGGATGTAACCAGGGAAGACCTGAATGAGGCATGTATGAACAAAGGGCATTGCATGGAATTCATGAGCAGTCACTGAGAATATTATTTCAAAAATTGTTAGCACATGCCTTAAACACGGGATAGGCTAGCCCTGCATTTAGCTTCATCCGCTTCCTAAAACTCTATAAACGAATTACCCTCAACAAATCCGTTAGAAATAAAAGTTCACTGGAGTCAACTAATTACTGAGCTCTCTGACAGAGGTTCTGGCTGAGACATGGAGGTGGGGCAAGCGGGGCAGGTCCATGTAAAGCATCCAGAAGCAGCTGCATGCACGGCTCAGGCCCCACAGCTCACACGTCAGTGTAGGCAGAGCTGTGGCTTGTACCTAGTGCCCAGGGTGTGACAGAATGGGGGCATACCAACCCCGAGATGATACTTGAAGCTTCTGGCTGGAGTGAGGGAACTTCCTGCAAGCTTTGGAGAGCCGCAGCCAGGCTGTGAAATCAGTGTAAATGTGAAATCAGGGTGATGGCAGGAACCGCAGCTCCCTTTTAGGAAGGACGCCAACAACTTGTGAGAATCTGGGCCCCGGGTTTACAAACATGAGGGAATGAACAGGGCTAATGAGGCAAACAGGGTTTAAAATGGATCTTTACTGCACTTAGTCCTGATGCGACTTGATGTGCAGGAAGGAGTGAGGGCTGGGGGCTCCCCTTTTCTGAGAAGAAGGGGAGGGGAAGCGGGAAAAGAGGGTGGAAAGTAGGGACCAAGAGGAGAGGAGGGACTGGGCTGCCATATGTAAAGTGAATAAATAAATATATTTTTGAAAAAAGTGGATCCTTTGCTGTTGGGGTTCTGTTCAGGAAGTTGTCTCCTGTGCCAATGAGTTCAAGAATCTTCCCCACTTTTTCTTCTAACAGGTTTAGTGTGTCTAGTTTTATGTTGAGGTCTTTGATCCACTTGGACTTTAGTTTTGTGCAGAGTGATAAATATGGGTCAATTTGCATTTTTCTACATGTAGACATTCAGTTAGGCCAGCTCCATTTGTTGAAGATGCTGTCTTTTTTCTATTTGGCTTCTTTGTCAAAAATCAAGTCTCTGACATGAACTCAGGGGCTGGCTCTTTGATCACCTCCCCCTGAGAAGGGAACAGCCTCACCAGGCCACAGAGGAAGACAATGCAGCCAGTACTGATGAGATCTGATAGGCTAGGGTGAGAGGGAAGGTGAGGAGGACCTCCCCTATCAGTGGACTGGGGGAGGGACATAGGAGAAGAAGAAGGAGGGAGGGCAGGATTGGAAGGGGATGAAGGAGGGGCTACAGCTGGGATACAAAGTGAATAAACTATAATAAATAAATAAGCTATTTATTTATTTTTTAAAAATCAAGTATCCATAGGTGTGTGGGTTTATTTCTGGGTCTTCTATTTGATTCTATTGATACACCATTCTGTTTCTATGCCAGTACCATGCAGTTTTTATTATTATTGCTCTGTAGCACAGCTTGAGATCAGGGATGGAGATACTTCCAGACGATCTGTTGTTGTACAGGATCTTTTTGGAAATTCTTAGTTTTTTTATTTTTTCTATATGAATTTGAGAACTGTTCTTTCAAGGTCTGTAAAGAATTGTGTTGGTATTTTGATGGGAATTGCACTGTAGGTTGCTTTTGGAAGGATGGACATTTTCACTATGTTAATCCTACTGAGCCATGAGCATGGGAGATCTTTCTATCTTCTGATATTGTCTTCAGTTTCTTTCTTCAGAGACTTGAAGTTTTTTTTTCAAACAGGTCTTCAACTTGCTTGGTTAGAGTCACATCAAGGTACATTATGTCCTTTGTGGCTATTGTGAAGGGTGTTGTTTCCCTAATTTCTTTTTCAGCCGTTTTGTCTTTCATATACAGGAGGGCTACTGATTTTTTTTTTTAGTTAATTATGTATTCAGCCACTTTGCTGAAGGTATTTATCAGCTGAAGGAGCTCTCTGGTTGAATTTTTGGGGTCACTCATGTATACTGTCATATCATCTGCAAATAGTGATACTTTGACTTCTTCCTTTCTGATTTGTATCCCCTTGATCTCCTTTAGTTGTCTTATTGCTCTAGCTAGGACTTCAAGTACTATGTTGAAGAGATACAGAGAGAGAGGGCAGCCAGGCTCTAAGATCAACAATCAATAAATAGGACTTCATGAAACTGAAAAGCTTCTGTAAAGCAAAGGACACGGTTGTCAGAACAAAACAACAGCCTACAGATTGGGAAAGGATCTTCACCAACCCTATATCTGACAGAGGGCTAATATCCGGAATACTTAAAGACCTCAAGAAGCAAAGTAGCAACAAATCAAAATTCAATTAAAAAAAATGAGATACAGAGCTAAATACAGAATTATAAATAGAGGAATATCGAATGGCAGAGAAACACTTAAGGAAATGCTCAAAGTCCTTAGTCATCAGGGAAAGGCAAATCAAAATGACCCTGAGATTTCACCTTACACACATAAGAATAGCTAAGATCAAAAACTCAAGTGATAATACATGCTGCAGAGAATGTGGAGAAAGGGGAACTCTCTTCCATTGCTGGTGGGAATGTAAACTTGTACAACCACTTTGGAAATCAATCTGGTGCTTTCTCAGACAAGTAGGAATAGTGCTACCTCAAGATCAAGCTTTAGCACTCCTAAACATATATCCAAAATATGGTCAAGTATATAACAAGGACATTTGCTCAACCACGTTCGTACCAGCTTTATTCGTAATAGCCAGAACCTGGAAACAACCCAGATGTCCCTCAACTGAGGAATGGATATAGAAATTGTGGTCCTTTTATACAATGGAATACTACTCAGCAATTAAAACCAAGGAAATCATGAAATTTGCATTCAAATGGTGGGAACTAGAAAAGATCATCCTGAGTGAAGTATCTCAGAAGTGGAAAGACACACATGGTATATAACTCACTTATAAGTGGATATTAGACATATAATATAGGATAAATATACTAAACCTAAAGAAGCTAAGCAAGAAGGAGGACCCTGGGTAAGATGATCAATCCTTACTCAGAAAGGCAAATGGGATGGACATTAGAAGAGGGAGAAACAGGAAACAGGACAGGAACCTACCACAGAGGGCCTCTGAAAGATTCTACCCAGCAGGGTATCAAAGCAGATGCTGAGACTCATAACCAAACTTTGGGCAGAATGCAGGGAATCTTATGAAAGAAGGGGGAGATAGAAAGACCTGGAAGAGACGGGAGCTCCACAAGGAGAACAACAGAACCAAAAAATCTGGGCCCAGGGGTCTTTTCTGAGACTGATACTCCAACCTAGGACTATTCATGGAGATAACCTAGAACCCTTGTTCAGATGTAGCCCATGGCAGCTCAGTCTCCTAGTGGGTCCCTAGTAAGGGGCACAGGGACTGTCTCTGACATGAACTCAGTGGCTGGTTCTTTGATCACCTCTGCCTGATAGGAGAGCACCCTTGCCAGGCCACAGAGGAGGACAATGCAGACAATCCTGATAAGAGCTGATAGTCTAGGGTTAGATGGAAGGAGAGGAGGCCCTTCCCTATCAGTGGACTGGGGGAGGGGCATGGGAGGAGATGAGGGAGGGCAGATGGGATTGGCAGGGAATGAGGGAGGGGGCTACAGCTGGGGTACAAAGTGAATAAACTGTAATTAATATAAAAAAGTAAAAATTATTTTAAAAAATTAAAAGAAATCCTTTGGCCCCCTTTTGCATCCACCACGTCTGTAATCTGAATTTGTATTTCTTCCCACCAAAGGGTAGAAGTGGCTTTTTTCTTCCCTTAACTTGATCCTGTATTGTGTTGGTGGTATTAGTGATGCAGCTGGAATGACTTTATGTCCTGACTCCAGGCTGTAAGAGATTAGCCATTCCATCTGAGTGTCTAGGATCCCCTTCTGAGAATTACTATATAAGAAAAGGATGCACCCCATGGCAGTTTAGTGTCAAAGAGGGTACATAGTAATGGGAAGAGGGACTGCCTCTGACATAATCTGATTGGCCTGCTCTTTGATCACCTCCCCCTGAGGGGGGAGCAGCCTTACCAGGCCACAGAAGATGACAATGCAGCCACTCCTGATGTGATCTGATAGACTAAGATCAGAAGGAAGGAGAGGGGGACCTCCCCTATGAGTGAACTTGGGGAGGGGCATGAGTGAAGAAGGGGGAGGTAGGGTGGGATCGGGAGGGGAGGAGGGAGGGGCTTATGGGGGCGATACAAGTGAATAAAGTGTAATTAATAAAATAAAATTTTTTAAAAAAAGGAAAGGGGCCCCTTGAGGAGCACAGAGAAGAACTGAAAGTCATATCTTACAGTCAGAGCCAACGGTCAGATGAGTCATCTGAGTTCAGCAAATGCTGCAGGTGAGGTCAGGGGAACTCAGGCAAGCCAGAGAGCCTAGGCATGTGCTATCCACTCTCCCACACAGAGACACACTGACAACCTTGAGCGCATGGTTCTCATGGGAGGAAAGCTTTCTTCTGGAGTTATTTCTCAAGCAAGGAGCTCACTTCATGTCTCATTGGGTTAGATAGGTATTCTTGATAAGTCTATCCATCTTGGTTTACAATCAACCAGCTGAGCAGAC